TAGCACTCACAGAGACCCAGGCCTTGGAGCTCGGGCAGGGCTGCAGAGGCACAGAGCTGGTAGAAGATGTGGTAGTTCCTCTCTGCTTTTGCCTGTAGAAAGATGGGAAGGAAAGAGCTTTGAGTGGCCTGGTCACCTCAGGGCATCCCACTCCCTCAACAAGGGCAGGGACCCCAGGACTGCATCCACCCACAGCAGTGCTGGGACCCTGGATTTGGGTATTAAGGGACATCTTTCCCTTTCCCAGCTTAATCCAGCAGCACTGTAGTTGCTCCCTGGGAGGACAGGGTTCAGCCCAGCTGGCCTCTGCAAGCACCAGGACATAGGGGCCCCAGTAGCTTTCTCAGTTCCTGGGGCTCTCACACAGCCCTGTCCCCATCCCACCCTGGAGACCCACCTGGAAGGTAACCCGGGACTTCTCCAGCAGGTAGGTTTTGATGGTGGCCCCCATGACATATGCCTGGCTGAAGCCAATTTCTATATACTTCCCAAAGCGGCTGCTGTTATCATTTCTGGTTGTCTTTGCATTCCCAAAGGCCTGAGAGGGAAGGAAGGCAGGCAGGTTTGGCTAGCCCTGCATCTGCTAGTACTCTGTAGAGGAGTTTGATCTGCACCACCACCCATTTTACAGACATGGCATCACCCATCAAACTTGCAGCAAAACCAGTAGGACTCAGGTGTTCTGCTTCTCCCTCCTTCACTGATCAGCCCAGAATGCAGCACCACCAGCACTGGAAGCCTGGATAAGGCCATGCCCAGCTATGCTTGGAGTAGCAGGAACTAGGACTCCTTCCTCCACATGGGAGGTGAGCTCTGCCAGCCCACAGCCAGAGTGGCTGTGGCTTGCTGCCTTGGCACAAGGACACAGGCATGCAGGGAACAAGACACCCATGCAACTCAGGAGAGTGCAGGGCTGAGACTTCAGCACTTTTGAGCCCCAGAAGCATGTGAGGGGTCAGCCAGGGCTGCAAGGAGACAAAGGCAGCCCACAGGAGTGCCCAGCCACTCCTCATGTCCCAGCTGTCCCCATACAAAGCTGGCTTTGGGCATGGCCTAGGGAGACAGGGGACCCACCTCCATGACGGGGCTGGAGGCCAGCACCTTATCCTCCATGCTGGAGTCGCCCAGGCTGCCCCCAACAGCAGTGAAGTACCTCATGGCATACTTGGCCGATGCTGTCTTCCCTGCACCTGACTCGCCGCTTATAATGAGGGACTGGTTCTTACCATACCTGCAGAAGGGAGGCATGAGGCCAGGAAAGCCCTAGAGGAAAGGCTTGCAGGGAGAGACTGTGATCCAGAGCACACTTCAGTCTCCCCATTTTCAGCCTCCCAGGATGCTCTCAAGTTGGATTTATTACCCCAAGCCGCAGCCACTGTCCCTCTCCATCTGCCCCACACTAGCAGGGACGCTGGGGCCTGGGAGAGTGGGCAGTGACCATGTGGCACAGCAGTGGCTCACCGGGACATCTGCTTGTACGCTTCTTCTGCCAAGGCAAAGATATGGGGGTCCATGTCCCCCATTTCCCGACCGCTGTAGGCATAAATCACCTCCTCCTCATAAATGGGCAGCTGCTTGTATGGGTTGATGGCAACAAGGATAATACCTAGAGGAAGAGGGATGTGCAAACCCAATGCCATGCTGGGGCAGGATGGGTGCCTGCACCCCACTAAGCACCAAAGGGCTGCACCACGCCAGTCCTGCTGGGGTGGGAACTGGACACAGCAGCACAGGCGACTCACCACAGTAGGTATAGATGGCATTGGCCTCCAAGAAGCGCACCCGGAGTGAGTGCAGCACAGCTGGCTCATGCAGGTAGCTGAGGGCCACCAGGTCATCCTCACCTGAGAGGCAGTCAGGGTTGCAGAGAGGTGGCAGATGGGACTCAATGGGGTAGGCTAGCTCCTGTGAGGATGAAAGGAGCAGGATAAGCACTGAGCTGGGCCAGCAGCCTGTGGAGGGCAGGGACTGCCCATGCAGGCTGTACTTGGGCCATTAGTCACTGGGAGCTGCAAGCCCAGCTGGCCCAGCAAGCTGAGCTGGAGGGGAGGCAGTTTGGGAACCAGGTAGGAGTAGGCAGCAGGGAGGACCCAGCAAGCTAGGCTTTTGCTTAGAGCAATGGTGCAGACAGATGCAGGACTGGCCACAGGGGTGAATACTGAATGTCTGCACCATCTGGCTTCAACAGCTGGAACAGACTTTGCAGAGGTGTCTGGTGGCTGCTGGGCACATCCAGGCAGTATTCAAGGCACTGCTGGCCTTTCTGCTCCCTGCTTTAAGGGCCTAGGCTCATTTGGGGCCATAAAGGTGAATCCCACCTGCAGGCACAGGATCCCCAGCTAGCACAGGAGGGACCCACAGGGCATGCAGCTTCAGCCTTACCAAGCCATCTTCCAGGCAGAGATGGAGAACATCATCTCCTTCCTCATAGCTCCTGGTTACTTCTGCCACCTTCCAGACTTCAGTGCAGTCAGGGATCCACACTCGGGCACCCTGCAGGGACATGGGAGGGAGAGGACCCCTGCAGAGACCTGTGCCAACAAGGCTGAACCAGGGAAAGCATCAAGCCACCAGGGTCCTGTGAACAGATCACAGCAGCCTTCTCTGCAGGCCACAGTGCAGCTCTTGCCTAGGATGGGCTGCCCTGTACATGGCATTGCTCTAGCAGGGGCACCTGCTCCCACAGCTCAACTGCTCCACAGTGTTTGCACCCCAACCTTGGGATCCAGTAGCACCTCAAGTCCTGCAGCCCCTTCCCCCTGCCAGCATGCAGACCCTGTGGTATTGTCCCTGTCACTAGGAAGTTTCTGCAAAAAACAGCTCAAAAGCAGCTACAAGCACCCCCGACAGCTACCAGCATCTTCTTCCTGGAGCCAGGGAAGATGCTCCAGTGTCAACTGTGACACAGCTCCAAGATGAGCTCAAGCAGCAAATTGGGCAGCGACCCCAGTCCTCACTGGAGAGCAGTGATGCCTGGTGGGTTAAAGCCCCTCCTCCAGCAAATGCAGGATTAAGATGGACTATAAAAAGGTGTCTTCCCTCCCACACTCCACATGCTTCAAGTGGCAGTGCTGGACAGGTGCTGCTGCTGCTGCTGCTATCTGTCACAGGCACAGCTGCTTCCCCACACCGCAAGTGGGGTAACATGGCACCAGCCACTGCCTCCATCTCCCTTCACAAGGGAACCTGGTGCATCCTCCGCACCAGCTTAAAAGTACCTTTCCACCTGCTTTAGAGCCATCATGTTGCCAACAAAGGCAGGGCTCTGCTTTTTTCCAAGTCTGGAGACCCTAGCCTTAGTGTCAGAGGGGCTTCCTCAGGTCTGTTTTTCCAGAAAGCACTTGAGTCACAGCAGGGTGCTGCAGGGTGGGAGCTGGGTCTGGCCTAACAGCAGCAGGGAGGGTCTGTGGTTGTGTGGCATGAAGGCCAGCCATCCTCAGAGCATCTTGCTCAACTGTCAGTTCATCCCTACCAGGAGTCAGAGGGGAGAGGATGGCTCATATCAGGTCCTGCAATATTATTCCACATAAAGTAACAAGATCTGCTAGTAGCCAGCAGTGAAGCCACAAGACATGGCTCCTTCCCAGCAAGTAAACCCGGCTTGAAAGCAGGTATACATACAGCAAGGTCCTCAGCCAACTACTGCACTGATCCAGATACCACCTCCAGCTCTGGAAACCCAACTGCAAGCGAGAGCATAGAGACAGCAGCAAGACAAATCACCTTATACCCTCCTCTTACGCTTCCCCAGTGCTTGCAGCTCTCTGTGGCCAGACAGAGCAGCTAGCCTTGTGCAAGGGACTGATGGGCACATACAAGCCCAGCATCTCCTGCCTCTGGTGCCCAGCTGAAGTCTTCCTTCCACCATCCCAGGGCTGCCTTCACAAACACCAGATGTTAATAAAGGGGGAAGCAAAATGCAAACCTTAACTCTGCTCTGGATCTCTAGACTCAGGCCCTAATATAGGGGAAAAGTCTTTTTGAAGTCACCCCACAGAGATGGGGATGTTCAGCACTGGTGAAACAGCCAACATGACACCAGCAGGTCCCTTTTGCAAGGTGCAAAACCCAGGCAAGAAAAACCATACTGCAGGTGCCACATGGGACCAGCAAGAGGAGGCAAACATCCAGCACTGAGCTGGCATGGGGCAATGAGCACTCCGGGAGCCCAGTGCTCCATCTGGCCCTGCTGCTGGCACAGGTGCCTGCGTCCCCTTGTTCTGTACATCAAGTTGTCAGATGCCTGTCTCAGCAATCCTGCCAGACTGACAAGAACGAGGTCTGCCTCCAAGAGGCCACTTCCTCCTGCTGCGCTTAGACAGCAGAGATGAGGCCACATTGCAAGTTTAAAAAAGAAAAAACCCTCCTCTAATGGATTCAACTTTGCTTTCAGGCTGCAACAGGAGCAGGAGGAGCTTATATCCTTTTCCACTAACTACAGCTGCAGGACCTGTTTCAGAGCAGCAAAGGAGCTCTAACATACCATACTCCCACCCTAGCCAGCCACTGCTGGCCTCTTGCTAGAAACAGGGGCTAGAAAAACATTTCTATTTTGCTGATTTTGCAAATCCAAGAAACTTGGCTTGGAACAAATGTTTCCAGGGCTGCAGCATGCAAGGCACATGTGTTAATGCATTGTTAAAGCTGATAAAACAAGTCCTGAATAGTCTGCAAGCCTAGGGGGAAAGGAAAGGGGCCACACTTTGGGTTTACAGCCAAGAAGTCATCAGGAGACCAAACATTTGACTTCGCAGTTTAAAAAAAAAAAAAAAAGGGAAGGAACAAGATCAGGCTGCAGGGGCTGCTAAACTCCACCACAGTGAAGGACACAGCAACAGGAAACCGTTATCATTTGAGTCCTAGCCGCTGGGGGGAGTGAAAAAAAAAATATGCATGATCTAAGGCTTCCATCAATGCACTAACAGGCTCCAGCCTGAAAGCAGGGCTGGAAGAACAAACATCCCCACTAGCCAGCCCAACTCACACCTCCTCAGCAAGGAGTGGTTCACCTTCAGCCCTGTGCTCAAGCTTCCTCAGAAAAGAGGTGGTGGCCTAGGGCTGACAAGCAGCAAGAAAGCCTCCAGCCCAAATGCACAACCTGGAAGAAAGCTTAAGGCAACTGAGGCCACGTTTGAGGAATGGCTGCACAACCTCAGCACTCTCACACAACAGAAAGCCTCAATCATGATGGCTTCTCCTTGCCCACACAGCCTTCACCCACATGGAGCAGAACAACTTTCCTCCCTCCAATTTCCAGAGGAATTGGATTCTCTAGCTTTGCTCATAGCTGAGCCACATCCAGGGCAGGTTTGCTAGGTACAGCCATTTCAGTCCTAGCACCACCATTTGGACCAAGGCAACCCAAACATCAGGGAGATGCCTCCAGAGCCATGAAAGACTTCCTGGCTTTGCCCCATGTTGGTACCTTGCTCATGCCAGGGACATTGTCTCACCCCTGAGCTCTGCAGGAAACTCCTCTCTGGGCTTGAGTACTGAAGCTGCCCCTCGAGGGGGGGGGGGGGAAGAAACATGCCAGCCTGCATGCCCCCACACATCCTTCCAGCCTTCTTGGCCTCAGCTCCTATCCACCCACACCAGTGGCATCTCCTGTCAGCCATCACTGTATAGGCAGCAGCTGCCAGGCACATACATGGCTGCCTGAGATTTACCCCTTCCTTCATCACAGGCATGGGAAAGAAGCAGCCAGGCAGCCCTTCATGCTGGAGGGCTCTTTGGAAGAGTTTCACTAAGGCAGGCAGCATGCTTCAGCAAGGAAGCCCAGACCTTCTTTCCCTCCAAAGGGGAGATGCTGCCTGTGCATCTAGCCAGCCTGCAGCACCCACACAGGGCTGCACTGGCTCATGGAGCAGAACCAGGTGCCATGCACCAGCATGGATGGGTCTCACACCTTGCAAAGCAGCAGCAAGCCAAGGACCAGCACATGGGTCCCCAAGGACTGCCATGAGGGGAGCCAGGCTCACTGCACAAGCAAACAGCCATGCTGATCAGCACCAGCTCCAGCTGCACACAACACAGAGCAGCAGCCAGGCAAGCAGCTCTCTCAAGAGCATCCCTGCAAAAAGCACCCAGGAAGCCACCACACTCAAACCAGGCTCAATCCCAGGCTCCTCAGTCCAGGACTATGCCTCACATAGGGCCAAGTTCAGGATGCCAAGGCCCTGGGGACACATGTGCCAAGACATCCCCAAGAGCAGGGCAGCACTGCTAGGCCTGCAAAAGGCCCCTGACAGCTCAAGCTCTGTCTCTAGGCCAGAGCAAGGACAGGAAGCAGCAAGCACAGCCCAGACTCAAGGAGCTCTTCCCAGGCCCCAGCAGCAGTTCACCTGCTGCACTTCAACAGGCAAATGCAGAGCACCAAGGGGAAATCCTCTCCCCTCAGCTCCACCTACAAGCCAAGCCAGGCCTGCATCCTCAGCTACACACCCCAGGGAAAGCAAAGCCAGCAGCACCTCACCTGCACATACAGGTCCCCCACAGCCATGGCAAGGCCACTCCCCAGCACCAGAATCCCGTACCCCCAACAGTGCCAATGCCAATGCCTCACATGACCTGGCCCCGGGGCTCCTTTATAGCAGGCGGCATGGCCGCTAATTGCTGCTAATTGGACGGGGCAGGGAGGGTGCGGGATGCCTGGGTCCCCGCCCCACTCGGCTACCAGTTCCGCCCCCACCTGCTGCCCCGGCGGCGGGGACCCCCCTCCCCCAGCCGGGGCACCCCGAGACCTTTGCTATCTCTGAGCCCCCTTGTCTAGGAGACCCCAAGACCAGCCCCATCCAGGGCACCCTGAGCCCCCCAAGGCACCCTGAGATTCCCTGTCTGGGGCACCCCAAACTCGGGACACCCTGACACCCCTCCTTATCTGGGACACCCCAAGATTGGCCCCATTCAGGGCCCCCCCATCCAGGGCACCCTGAGCCCCAATTCCAGGCACCCTGAATGCCCATACCATGCACCCACAGGTTTCCTGCTCAGGGAACCCTGAGGGCCCCCCCATCCAGGGCATCCCAAGCCCCCTGCACCTGGGGTGCCCCAAGCACCCATCCCATGCACCTCCAGACCCCCCTATGTCCGGTGCCACTCCCCTCCTTCCATGGCAGCACTCGTAACCATGAAACGCCATGGCCACAGGCAAAGCCGAGCAGAGCAAGCCTCAGCCTTGCTGAGGTTTTTTCCCCTCTTTTCTTCAAATTGATTCTTTTTTCATCCTGTCTTTAGGCTTTTTTGGCTGAGGGAGCTTGCGTGGGGAGCCATGTGCGGGACCCTCACCCACAGATGTCCCACTGCAGGCTGTCCCCATGGGGAGCTGGGGCGAGGTCCCTGGGTCCCTGCTTTTGTTTGGAGGAACCTATGGTGGGCTGGCAGCTGTCTGTGGGTGCTGCTGTCTGTGGGGCTGTTGGGTGGGGGGTCCTGCTGTCCAGGGGTCCCACTATCTGTGGGTCCCTTCTGTGCATGGGTCCCTCCCGAGCAGAGGAGCCCTGCTGGCCCATGGCAGCCTGGCCAGTCCCGCGGCACTGGGGATGAAGCACAGAGGCACCTGAGGATGCTGTCAGGGAGGGGGGAGACCCAGCAGGTGGGTGCAGTTGAGGATAGGGGCTGCCAGCACAGGGCAAGCAGCTGGGGACAGTGAAGAGGCAGCTTTCGCCCTGCCAGGAGCATCACGCCCACAGGGACTGAGGCCACCCTGTTCCTGGGTCACCCTACTGGGATGAGGACAAAGCAGAGGGGACATGGTGGTCCCCTAGGCCCCTCTTCCTGCCCCGTGTAGCCAGTGCACGGGCCAGCTCACTGCAGCAGCAGAAGCGGAGTCGCCAGATCCGGTGCTAGAGGTGCTAACCAGCAACTCCCAGCTGTCTGCAGTGCCACCGCTCCCCAGTGAAGGGACCCTCCCTCCAAAGGGGGTCAAGGGCGCGCGGACACAGGGCAGCCCTCGCAAACCCCAACGGGCGCAGGGATGCAACATGGGAACCGGCCGCTCTGGCACCCCCAGCTCCTATTTCCCTGCCGAAGCAATGGGAGCCCGGAGTCAGCGCCGAGACGTCCCAGGCAGAAACACACTGTACGTAGCCTGTGTATTCATATATAGTAAAAAGTCTTTATTAAGAAGGCTTTGAAGTCAAAAAATAAAACTCTTGATACAATTTTCATAACCGTCAAGTCAGCTCAGCAAATATATAATCAGTACTTTAGCCATGTAAGGTTAAAGGTCCGTTATTTTCTTTTTAAAATAAAATATATCTTAGTTTTTAAAATTTATTCAATAAAGTACATATTTTCCTATAAATTCCCTACATATACATAAAGAGGTAAAAAATAAAAAAATAAAACAAAAGAAAAACCAACCACAAAATAAAAAGGAGATAGAAATTTGTTTGTTTTTTTGCGACGTGACATGGTCATCATGCCCCTCTTTGTCCCACAAGCTGCCCCCACCCCAGCCAAAAAAAATATATATATATATATATATATTTATAGAACCATCAGGAATCATCCAAAAAAATAACTACATACAAAAAGAACGGACGACAAAAAAATTATAATAATAATAGAATGCTTTTAAAAAAATAAAAGACAACCCTTGTGTGTCCTAAAATAAAAAGTGCAACCGGACCTTTTCTTTCTGTTTATTTAACTTTGCAAACTGAATACTGTTATTTGGAAAGGACTGTTGAAGAACAGCTGGGCTTTCTCCTCCCAGCTGCCACAGCCAGGTTAAGAGTTAAAGCTATTCTGTAAACATTTGTTTTTTTTTCTCTCTCTCTCCTCTCTGCAACTTCATGCCCCTCTTCCTCAATCGTTTTCTTCCGTTTTCTTCCCTCCCTTCTTCCCCACCCCTCCCGACCCCTTTTGTTTCATTCATCCTTCCCGCCCCCACGATCCTTGCCCTCCAGCTTTCTATCCAGCAAGAAATATCATCTCTTTTCCCCCTCCCGCCCCATGTCCCCAGTCTGATCCGTTAAATAAAAAGGTTGATTTAAACAGTTAAAAGTCCTTAAAAAGCTGCGTTGTAGGGAGTAGAGGGGGAGGGCCGGCCGCCCCGGCAGCAGGCGGGTGGCTATGAGAAGATGTGGATGGCTTGGGTGGCAGGAGTGTGGCAGGCAGGACACTCGGGCTCGGCTTTGCCGCAGATGCGCATGGCGCACTCCATGCAGAAGAGGTTGTGGCCACAGGGCACCAGGGCAGCGATCACCTCGCTCTCAAAGCACACCATGCACTCGCGGGAGCTCTTGCGGTGCCCGTCAGAGCTGCTGGAGTCGGTGGGTGAGCCCGAGGCGGCCGAGATGCTGCCAGGCAGAGAGGAAGAGGAGGAGTAGCCCGTGCTGTTGGAGAAGGATGAGAGCGAGCCTTGGGTGGGCAGCCAGGACAAGGTGCTGACGGGGTCGCTCTGGATGCGGCGGGCTAAGGGGTGGTCCAGGGCCACACCGCTCTCGGGGAGGGTGGGCGAGTGGCGCGGCGTGGCTGTGCCGCTATTGCGGCGCTGCGAGCTGTTGATGGAGGAGCAGCTGCTGAAGGCCTGCAAGGGGTTGCCAGAGCGCTCAAAGGGTGACCAGATGGTGGTGGGCGTCGTGAGGTCGAGGGCCAGGAAGTCGAAGCCGAAGTCGCACTCCTCCGAGCTCAGCGGTGCCTGGGGCTCGCTGAAGGTGAAGCCGCTGCTGGTGCTGTAGGGGCTAGTGGGGCTGGCATCCGCCACCCGCCCGCTGTAGTAGGACTCAGTGGAGGTGCTGCCCAGGGAGCTCAGGCTGTCATTGCGGAGGCTGGACGAGGGCCGCCGGGCAGGGTTGGGGGCTTTAGCCCACAAGCTGGCCGTGCTGCCCTGCAGGTCAAGGCACACGTCGGTGCCGTTGGAGTGGAAGTCGTTGTCGGCGTTGACATCGATGAAGGAGCCTGTCCGCATGGTGATGTGTGCCTCGATCTCCTCCCGAGCTCGGTCCACGTTCTCAGGCATGCCCGTCACCTCGAAGACGGGCTCCTTGTCCCGGCTGGGCGTCACGATGTAGGTGTGCGTCTGCTGCTGGATCCGCTTGATGGTGGCTCCCTTGGGCCCCACGACCAGCCCCACAACGCGGTACGGGACCCTCACCTGGATGGTGGTCTGTCCCGGCAGGTTGGGGGGCCCTTGCATGGCTCCTGTCAGCCCGTTCACTTTGTTGCGTGTCGCCCGGATCATGGAGAAGTGCTCGGCAGCCGAGAGAATCTCCCTTTTTGCCATCTCCACATCCTCTTTCCGCCCGGTGACGATGAATACGGGCTCCTCGCCCCTGACCGGCGTCTTGATGTATGTGTTGGTCTTGGCGCGCAGGGCTTTGATTTTGCAGCCTGCAGAGCAAGCAAGAGATGGGAAAATGACATGTCAAGGCTAAGAACTCACTGGACTTCTCTGCCCACCGCCCAGCAGGGAGAGGTGCAGAACCAGCAGGTCTCAGCAGGTTCCTTTGGTTCTGCACCTGCAGCAAATAAACTAAATCAAAACAAAATAAAACACCCTTGGAGAGAGGGGCCTCCCATTTCAATTGCAGCCAGGAATCCATGGCTCTGCCCTGGGGTGCGACACAGGCTCATCCGAGATGCCCAAACCTCCTGGCCTCCGCCCATTCCCTTGCCACCACCTCCTCCCCACAGGGACTGAGGACCTGCTGGACACTGGGGTAATCCAGCACAGCTCCTGGGGGCTTGGACAACCCACAGGGAAAG